TTTTTTTTGTATTTTTATAGGTCATGGGATACTTCGTCCTTCATGTTCACTGAGAATTTTAGGTGCAGTTTCTTGAAAGAGAGTCATCAGTCTTAAGATTATTTTTGGTGTTAACTGTCATTTAAGGTTTTGAAAGTTTCAGCATGACCACAGTTCCAGACCTCCCATGTTATTTACTTTTTCTTTATTTCAGGAGGATGTTTATGTGGCAACAACAAAAAATCTTATTGATGGTGTGATTGCTGGTTATAATGCCACAGTCTTTGCATATGGACCCACAGGTAATGTTGATGTGAAGTTTTCTGTTTAGTGTTTGGATAGAAATTCACATGCTGTTCATTCCGATTATCCTAAATGAAAATTCTTCTAAAACAAAACAATGTTGAACCTAATGGGATAAAAAAAATATGAAAATGCTCATTTTAAATTGATCACGACACTTCGCCTTACCATTGATTGGGTCTGCAAATTACCGCTTATGACCTCAGATCAGACAAGACAACCCTCTAAAATTAAGCATTTAATTAGGTAGAGAAAGTAAACTAACCAATATATCTGTGTTCACATTTTCTGCTTCATTTCTTCATTTAATTTTTTAGGAGCTGGAAAGACATACACTATGTTAGGATTAGATTCTGAGCCTGGCATTTACATCCGAACACTCAATGATCTCTTCAGGGCCATTGAAGACAGCACTGAGGACTTGGATTGCAGTGTTTATATGTCATATATAGAGGTCAGTCTTATTGTTAGATACTGTATTAAAAAATATTACATCAAATTTGGTACTGTCCTTTTGGGACTTTACAAATGGAGTGTGTCCTGAATGCACTAAACACTAATGAACGTCTTTGCAGATTTATAATGAGATGATCAGAGATCTGTTAAATCCATCTTCTGGATACCTTGAGCTGCGTGAGGATGCTAAAGGCGAAATACGTATTGCCGGCATCACAGAATTCTCTACATGTAATGCTAAGGAGGTACTTTTTAATAGCCTACCATACACTACCATTTACTTTTGCTGCCCATTCATTTCCTACAGTTTGCCTGTTTTCTCCTTAGTGTCTCCAATAAAGGATGATGTTTTTCTGAACCTGGTGTTTGCCTGTGATTTTAGATAATGGCTCTTTTGACCAAAGGGAATAAACAGAGGACTCAGGAGTCAACAGCTGCTAACAAGACATCATCTCGCTCTCATGCTATACTTCAAGCAAGTCTAGAACACACACACACACACACACACACACACACACA